GAGTGGTTCGATGGCCTCGTCGAAATGGAACAAGTGGAGAAACAATCATCTCCAGCATCGATTGTTTGGGTTTGACAATGGATGAGAATAGATCTCTCTATATCGTTGATGGTGTAAAAAATGAGGTGAGACGATATCGAAGAGGAGAATCTCAAGGAATAGTGGTTGCAGGTGGCAATGGAAAAGGAAATCGTCTCAATCAATTCTCTAACCCACAATACGTATTCGTCGATCGAGATCATTCAGTATATGTGTCTGATTTGGGAAATAATCGTGTGATGAAATGGATGGAAGGTGCAAAAGAAGGCATTGTTGTGGCTGGTGGTCAAGGACAAGGAAATGCTCTTACACAATTGTCATATCCTGAAGGAGTCGTTGCCGATCAATTGGGCACTGTCTATGTGGCTGATGGAGGGAATAATCGAATCATGCGTTGGTCTAACAGAGCCACACAAGGAAGTGTCATTATTGGTGGAAACGGTAGAGGAGACCAATCGAACCAACTCAATCAGCCCTTCGGTTTGTCATTCGATCGAGACGGCAATCTCTATGTCGCCGATACTGGAAATCATCGAGTACAAAAATTCAATATCGAATCCAATAAGTAAAGGACTTTGAAATCAAAAAAGAAATTTTTTTTAATATTGTCAACATCGCAGTCATCATATAGAAAGAAGTGACGCCGTAATTCTGAGAATCCTTTTCGAAAATTATAATAAAATGTACTCTAATTATAAACAAAATATATGTATCTGACCAAACCCAGTATGACCCCACGCCGTTTCTATCCAAGGATGTCGAGACCTTGGAAATCTTGAAAAATTCCGATATATCCTATTCATTAAAAATAACTCAAAATCATTAAGAAACTTCGTATTTAGATGTTTCTGAGATTGCCTCACATTGTTCAACATCTAGAAAATCGTAGGTTCTGTGGAAATCCTTGGTTCTTGCATTGAAATCACCACTTCCAAAATGCATAAGAAACCTTCGAATTCTGGACACAGTTGCTTCGAAAACAGTCTCCAACACCGAAAACATGAAGGAATTCTAAATTTTCTTGAAACTTCTAGTAATATTTACATACTATGTCATAAACGAAGGGTGTGGGTGTGGGTGTGGGGTGTAGATATGGATATAGGCAAAGAGAAGGGATAAATACCCAGACCCATCCACACACCACACCCACACAGCACCTACTCACACCCACACCCACTCACATCCACATTCACATCCACTCACATCCACATCCACACTCACCTACACCTACATTCACCCACACCCACATCTACACCCACCTACACCTACATCCACACATCCACTCGGCACCCATGGCCACACCCTCACCCACACTATGATCCTCGCGCTCAGGTTTTTAGTGATAACGATTTGCGTGCTGAAAATTAAGCGTGCTGATTATTCCTAGTGCTGAACGTTCCTGTGCTGAAAATTCCGTGCTGAACGTTCCGTGCTGAAAATTCCCGTTCCCATCTTTTGTACGTCAGAGACGAAATCATCAGCTGATTTATTGATCTCGTCCACGCTTTCGACTTCTCTCTTTGTTACTAGCTTTGTCACATGTCGGCTGCAAATTCCGTGACGATGTTTAAACAGATGAACCCAGTGTTCACTGAAACACACAGAGAAAAGCGTTAAAATCAATGTTTTTCATCTTCTTTGCTACAGCTCTACACATTTTGTTCTATCATGTCATATAACATGAAGAGGAGAAACTGTGTAGGAGACCGCAAGAGAGAAGGCTACAAACAGAAAGTCTCGAACAATACTGTTAGTATAATCTTACCTTCCACAAAAACTTTCATCATTTATTTCACGTGCCTTTTACAACCCCCATCTTTTCAAATCTATGTCGTGTATAAACAGTAATTGTTCACGTGCTTTCTCAAGTGATTCATAAACGAACGAATCAATTTCTTCAAGTTTTTGTTTCTTTGTACCTTGATTTTCGATGTATTTTCGAAATTGTCGAATGTAGCTTCTATCCTTGACTTTTTTGAAACGATTCCGAAGACTCGACCAAGAATGTTTCCTTTTACCAGTGTTAACATTGGTTTTATCGTAAAAATCAACGACTTTCTTCATATACTGAAGCGAAAATTCATGTAGTAAATTGTTTTCTTCATCATCGTTAGCATCTTCCGTGTAACTTTCATCTTCTTCATCATCTGATTCAACCTCTGCTTCTTCAGCTTCTTCATCAAAACTATCAGTAAAATCTAACGTTTGTTCTTTTTCAAAATTATACTGGGTGCAATTGAAGATCGATTCAATATCTTCAAAAATATTTCGTGCCACATCCTCATCGCGTGCTGTGCACGCATGAGTTAAATCAATGGATGGTAGTAATTCGGTAATATAATTGGAGACAAGTCGCAAGACATTGTGAGGGTTTATCATTTTTCTTGACTGTCAGTTCCGTCTAAAACAAGAATAAGCAATAGTATTCTTAAAATTAGTCGTACCTCTCTTAATCTGTTTGCTGTTAACTTGATTCTTGCAAACACCGTATCGTTTGTGTTAGGCAATATCAAAAGATAATTGTATCTGATATATACACATATTTTATTGTAAAAAATCAACAACTATATATAGGTTTTGGATACCGTACTGTAGAAAAGGATCGAGAAGAGAACATGACGTCATGGAAGAATGTTTATGATGTCATAGATAAGTAGAGTGGTATGGGTGATAGAAAAGTGCATATCACATGATGGAAGAATGCATGACGTAATGGAAGTAGAAGAACCATAACATACAGTGGAATGCATAAAAGTGATAGATTATATTAGTTGATTATAATACTCCTTGATACCATTCGTCATAATCAATGTACTTACTCTGAAGACTTGTTGTTCGTTTGCAGGCAAAGTCAGTTAAATAGTACCATGTACTCTCTATCACGAAATGTTAATAACCATTTAACAAAGGATGAAAATGAAAACAGAGCACATAGGATTATATAAAACCGCAAAAAGACAGCACTATAGTCAAGTGCAGGAGTGTACTTTTTCATGGCAAACAAAAATCCTGTAAATCTAGAATAAAACAACCAAATAATTTAAAATTTTCAGATCAATCAGAAACGCGTGTGACCTCGTAGTGCTGGAAATTTCAAGTATATACGGTCTTTTTTGACTGAATTGTAAGATTTTCAATTTTCAGCCATTTTGGCAGGGAAAAACAGAAAATTGACCATAACGTTTCAAGGAAGAGCTGTCAGCCCAAATCTTTTTGAGCTTTTTCCTATCTCGATGCCCTCTATCAAGCAACGTGTGAATGAAGGGAATCGGCGTTGGGCACCTCGGGAGGTTCCCTCGTGAGGGGTGGGATTGGGTGAAGTGAAAATTTTTTCGCGGATGGTCCCACATAAAATTGACATCATTCGATGCAGAATTTCTAGCCGAGCGTAACTCAAGCAACATAGCGAATCTGGACAGGAAAATCTTTCAGAAAATTTTTGAAAAAACCAGTATTTTGGGATCAAGTGTTGATTTTTGCTCGATGATCCTCCTTGATATTTACACCATCAGATTCGCCGTAAAATTCTGCATATAACTCAAGTTGAACCAAAATCAACTCAAGTTCAGGAGCGAATTCAGACAGTAAGAACTCGAATCTGGTGCTAACTTTACTTACGTTCATCTTTTTCATTTCAAATAGTTTAATTCTTATTGAACCAATCATATTGCTTAATTTAACTTTAACTTAATTCATTTTTTTTAGTCTGATTGATGCTTAAGGGTGTGGGTGTGTGTTGGTGTGGGTGTGGGTGTGGGTGTGGGTGTGGGTGTGGGTGTG